CTTTTTCACCCTTTTCTCCTCCCCCAAGTAGACCCTGAAGTATTCAAAATACATTGTTCAAACAAGATGCTTGGTGAAGCCTGCCATAAATTTTATTTTTATGCATATTTATTAAGTTCTGTATATTAATGGACCTTGTTTAACTCGCTAGGCTCAATCATTGGGGCTTGCTTCATACAGCACAACTAGCAGAGCCTACGTAGCTTCAGTTCTTCAAGGAATCTCCTACGGTCTCTTCTCTGACTTAATGTGCTTTCAGCAGTTTCTTTTTATTTTTTTTTAAAAGCTCTGGGCATCCTCTGGGCTGCATCAGTTTCTGCTTAATTCTAACAAGTGTCCTGTTACCTACATGGCCAGCTAGTACTGGAGCAAGCGTATAAAGCTAATCTTTTCCAAAGTATACCTGAGACAAGAATATCAGCTTTGTCTCCTCTTTCTCCAAACAAGTGGCTCTGCCTTCTCTGCTCTTGAGGATTCTCATAATGTAAGAGTCCTTCCCTGACATACCCAGGGAAACATACAGCATGCCCCGATAACAACGTGTACAGATCCTCTGTTGTTCTTCTTAAGCAAAAATACCCTGTGCTGCTGTTTTCTTCAGAGTCCCAGCCTGCTAACAGCCCAGCTGGAAGCAATGCTGACCTTTTGCTACCAGGCAACACTCAACAGGTACGTACAAAGCAGACTTGGAAAGGTTCTCCAAAGGGTTTTGAAACATTTTTGCTTTCACACTCTTTTAAGTGGAGATTAAATTTCACAGCATAAATGCTGTCATTTCTTCGATCACTTTGTGCTTTGAGAGATTAACTTAATAACCACAAAAGGACTTAGCCAGCACCATGGTAAAAAACAAGATGACACATTACTTACTTTGGGTCCACGTGGCCCTCTGTATCCTGTTACCCCAGGCAGTCCTTTCTGGCCCTATGTATACAAGGAAAGTTTCTGTATATTTTAATATGCTCGACATGCCTGTGTGCTGTTTTAACTTTTTTTTAAGTTCTGTTCTGAATCACAACTGTTAAATAGTATTTTCTTAAGGGCTGGGGCCTGCTCCTCTAGGTGTACTAGGCAGAAGGAAAATAAGAAAAACAATCACGTACTGATTTTTATTTCTGTTAACACTGTCAAACCAGCATAATGACTGTGGAATGAAATAGATCTATCTTTTCACTTGCAGGGACCTGCTAATCAGGGCTTTGTTCCTACAAACATGCTTGATAGTAGTTCTTCTTTGTTTGCAGCTCTATTTAGTTTGATGCAAGTATTCACATGCATAAATCTATACTTTTGTGCACAGCCCCAATCTGAATGGAATCCACGGCTGGCTACGCGGTCGTCATCACATCGTGTGTTGCACAGCAGTGTGTTGTGCTTCGCAGCAACACAGGGAGTTTAAGTAAGTTCTTTTTTTACCAAGATGCCTGAAATATGATTTGCTAATGACAAAAGGGAAGAAAAAAAAAGCAAGGGCAGTATCTCTCTTGAGCATGAAGACAGTCTTCCCTCAAGGACATGAGCTAAAGTACCCTTGGGCTCTGCTCTCCTGAAAGCCTGTAGGATCAGTGCTGAACATCAGGTTTTTACCTGATGGTTTATTACAGAATGAAAGGTTTGTCCTATGCCATCCTTGCAAAAATCACACCACAGGATTGCACGTGCCAAGTTGAGGACAGTTAAATATGAAGACAAATCAACACCTTTTCTCCTTTGAGCAGCTGACCTCCAGGAGGTCCAACCAGCAGCGGTGACCCAGGTGGCCCAGGTAGCCCAATGTCGCCCTGTGGAAGCCAAAGGAACAGCAGAGATTTGTTTTGTTCTGACTCAGAACACTCTCCTACACGTTTGTACTACAGCACTACATATTTCTGTACTCATTGAAGACGTACTAACTTACATTACTTTTCCTTCTAGTCTAACATATTGAGTGGGAGCGCAGAGCCACAAATGAATGGCTTCCAGGGAACCCAACAAGACTCTATTATACTACCAATTCTACAGCAATAATATTTAATAATATTTGTTTTCTTCAATACTACTTGTTTTCTTACCGGTTCCCCTTTTTGTCCATCCACTCCAATACCTGGATTTCCCTAATTGACAAAAAATGTACACAGTTTGAATATAATCAGAAAATGTTGACATTACAATTTAATCAAGTAACTCCTTTGAAAACCTTGGTGACAAATAACCAAAAGGGACACTTCAAATATTCATATAAATTATTATTCCACTAATATCTTCAGGGAAAAATAATTGCCTACCTGTTCACCTGGCAAACCAGGGTAACCCGGAATACCCTTTAAAAGAGAACACAGACAAGTTAGTATGCCTGATCTAGAGACAGCTTTGCTGTGCGAATTACCTTCTCTTGCCAGAAGCACCTAGCGACAGAATTTCCTCTTGGGATGTATCTATCCCAAAGTGTAATTTATTTCACCTGGCCACTGCTTTCAGGAGGAGTGAACTCTGCTTTCCCACTTTCCTGTCCCCACAAGGTGCCTTTGGGGAGAGAGAACAGGGAGAGAGCGCCAGCTGCGCAGACTGCCAGGGTGAAAGGTGTTCACGCAGGCATGGGAAGGGACAACATATGCTCTGATTCCTGGACTTACAAACTCATAAATAAGGTAAGGCAAAAATCTCTTTTGTTACCATCTGCCTCAAAAACTATTTCTAGGCTTGATTCACATCAAGGCGAGTTCTCAAACTGGTAGACCAGAATTTACGCCTATCTCAAAAATGCAAGGCTGCTGTGGTGAACTTACAGGCAAGCCAGGTTGGCCTGGGTATCCAGATGGGCCCGCTGCACCTCTCGACCCTCTAGGTCCCTGGAAAATATAGGAAAAGGTCTGTTTGTGAAAATACCAAGATCCTACCCTTTTCTCCACAAAACTAGTCCCTCCAAAATGCCTGCATCGCTTGGACTCAGTCTGCTGGCCACTGCATTCCACCCATGGCCTGAAGCTTTTACCATGCCTGAAACCTCAGCATTGCTAGAGCAGCTCAGTACTGGTTTCTGGATACTACTGCACACACACAGTTATATGTGATTAACGGATCGAGAGAATACTCTGTCAGGAAGTGTGCTACACTGTGGGGACTTGATACCGTTCATCAGTGAATACGTTTTTTGAAGGGTGTAAGAACAGGAACCCAAAGCCATTAAGAGTGTGAGTTGGCAACTAAATCAAACTCTCTCTTCTTCTCTCATGTTTTTAAGGCCAAAGCACAGTAGTGTGCGGCATGTTCTTGGGAGATCCACCAGATGCTCGGTCCCCCATGTGTTGCCAGGTCTAGTCGAGAGGTGGCGTCCCTGCCCATGACAGGGAGGTTGGACTAGATGATCTCTAAGGTCCCTTCCAGCCTAGGCCATTCTGTGATTCTATGACTCTATGCTGTTGAAGGTGCCACATCTCTACACATCTTGAATTTCACGGAGGAAATATTCTGCAAACTGTGAGTACCAGCATGACAACTGCTCAGTGTTCAGCTAAAGCAGAAGGGTACGGCCTGTTTCTACTGCTTTTCAGCCAGTGTGAATGCTCATGAGGCACACTGTAGGGACTTTATTCTGGAATTTTGCTATTTAGGTCAGGCAGGGAGAAACCCCAATATTTCTTTAGTGTATTAAAAAGGAAAATGTGAAAGATCTTCAAGCCAAAATGCATGTATAAAAGCTACTGAGTGTACTTACGGGCATGCCAGGGGGGCCAGGATGACCTCTGTCTCCCTGTAATGACAATCAATTAGCAAAAGAATAATGATTTGCTGTGGGCATTTTCTAACTTTATAGTTATTAATATCACAAGCTATTTGTTTCAGCTGTATAGTTGCTTTCAATCTTTTTTTTTTTTCAGCAAGCTTTACTAAACAGTGAGGAGTTATGAGAACAATTATATTTGCCATGCATGTTTTTCTACAAGACATGATTTGTTTCACAATCAGATACTTACTGGAGGTCCTTTTTCAAAATGTGAAATATACACTGAATTTCCTTTTTCTCCTTTCTGCCCTGGATTTCCCTTTAAAGAAAAAAAAAGTATGTTACAACATGATCCACATACTGATACACTGTATGTATTATATATATATTGAATTAAAATTTCTCATGATTGAATGATAAAGTTTTCCCATTTGAAATCCAGATGTATTGGGTACAATTTAACTAAGTCAACCACTTAACATAGAGAGGTTGGAATAGCGTTCTTGTGCACAAGCAAATCGGTTACTATGCCTTGCTTTTCTGGGTAGCTAAGTTAATTTGCACCGGGATTTTAGTACGCATACCCAAAGCTACATGCCCATTGTGCCTCCCATTCTTTGTAGGCTGCAAATACTTTTCAAGGCCTGCCAAAGAGCATGCCCCTGGAATTGGGAAGATGTTTGCTGTAATTTGTCTGATGTCTCAGTTTTCCTCATGTGATCAACCATGAGAAGTCTTCCAGTGTTACAGGATTTAGACTTGCTGAAGCTTCTACTTATTGCTAATTCATCTTGGGTATGTCCCTAGTACTAGCACTTTTACGAAATTTCAGATATTGATAAATGGTGTGATGGTTTCAATCCACTTCACCTCAGCTGTACCTCCATGAATTGGTATTAGCTATGGTGTGGTTACGTACTGGGGAGACAAAATAGAATTTAACTCTCAAGGTAGACACATATACTTCAAGGATATAGGAACTTATTTCACATTCAAGTTTAAACTTAATCTGTTGAGGTACCAAGTGTTGTTCGTTCCCATTAGCCTTAGTAAAAATGCCTGCAAACACACTGAGCAGCGTAAAGCTAGTGCCATAGCCTAGAGCTCCTTTCCTGCGCGGAGCTGTCAGCCTGCAGGGGCCGTGTCCGTGGGCAGTACTCATGGTCAGCGGGAGGGCCAGACACATACGTAGGGACCTCTCGGGCCCATGTAACCGTTTTCGCCTGGAAATCCTGGATCTCCTCGGGAGCCATTGCAGCCGTCTAAACCATGCTTGCCCCGGGGTCCTCCGCTTCCCGGTAATCCCTGAAAGACAGTTGAATATTTCTTAGAGATATAGCATGATAAATAAGGAATTGCCTTTTAAATTACCAAATATTACTAGAAAATATAACATAGACAGCACTGGTTAAGAGGGCTAGACTGAGCTCTTGAGTCAAAAAGTATCGTGTTATTTTCTTAGGGAAAGCAGACTCTACCCCTCTAACTATAATCTTTCTTGTGGCTGTGAAGAGAAGCTGAAGAATACACAGAAGTGATCTCAAGCAGTCTCATATTTTTTAACCGATATACTAAAACAAGGGAAAACAGGACACAGCTTGACTCGAGCATAGAGTAATTGCAGAGATTACGACTACACATTCCAGAACTGAGGAAGTGATTTTATAACCTAGGACGAACTAAGCAGTGTCCAGACCAGTTCTAATGCAGATTATAAGATAGACAGAACAGTGAGATTTCCGTTAGAATGATTTTTCCATTGGAGGAAAAATTATTTTCACAGAATTAAATGTTTTTGCAAGGAACAAACACTAATTTTGACCCCAACACTTTTTTTGGGGGGGCGAGCGGGTTACCTAAAAGATCAGTAAGTGTCTTAGCCATTTGCCTGAAACGTTTCTGTCAATTTTACTTTCTTATAGAACCATAGAATTGTCAGAGTTGGAAGTGACCTTAAAGATCATCTAGTTCCAACCCTCAACTAGATCAGGCTGCTCATAGCCCCATCCAACCTGGTCTTAAAAACTTCCAGGGATGGGGCTTCCTCCACCTCTCTGGGCAACCTGTTCTTCTTAACTTTAAGGTTCTTCATCCATATTTGTGGATAGGTTTTTTAATTAACAGTTTTCATTAAAAAGACCATACATTTCTTGGGAGCATTCTTTTTTTCTTGTGCTAAATTATGGGCTTGTGACCACTACGTTATACAGACATTCTGGCAACAGTCCCATTGTCAAGTGTGGACAGCTGGCAAGCAGATGCTAAGACACCCACTCAGTTTCTGGTTCTGTATTCACTTTCAAAATTCAACATTTTAACTTTGTTTGATCCTTATGAAACTAATAACAACATAGGACTTCAGTTCTAATGAACAGCATTTTTCAAAGTACTGTAGCTAAGAGGTATTCTCTTTCTTTTAGCACACCCGTTTCCACACTGAAAATAATTTACTGAGTGTATTCTTCTGTTAGAGAAGTTGGTATGACACCGCAATTTTTATAAAGACAGACACTGCAATTTTTATAAAGCAATATTAATTCAATACATACAGGAACACCGTCTAAGCCAGGGAATCCTGGGACTCCAGTTGGGCCCTGAAAACAGGTGACATGAAGAAACAAAGTTATTCTGGTCATTAACTCTCAAAAAGAACGAAAAACAAGAACATAAGACACTACATAGCAAGAAACAAGAAACAGTCTTGTTTGAAATATTAATCAAAAGCCCTAAGTGTCAGAAATAAGTTATCTGAAAATAAAATTGCATGGGCTTAGCAGGAGACTAGAGCCAATAGCTACCCGTGTAACACAGCACAGGACAGGACAAATCTCTAACTCTATACTCATTCACTCTCCAAATATTATAAAATGACAGAGAAGGGAAAGTTGCCTATGATTTATCAAATAACTCTGTACATAATTTCACAACCCTGGTCCTTTTTTAACAATATGGGCAGCATCATTTCTGTTTGCAGCACTTCCCTTTCAGGTAAGCGAGATACTGACATCAGTGACTTCAGCCATCCACCGAGATCAGTGGAATCCGACCATCAAAACTAACACGAAGTACCACAAGCCAAGCACAGCGATTGTACAGCTGTGAAAGACAGGGACCCAAACTGTAGTTTATACTCCGTAAGTGGCAATAAAATTCTGTGTAGCGTATAGCACGTTTAAAAGCTCCACATTCCTCCCACAGACCTCTTTGGGTTAAGGGCCATGATGTGGTACATAACGATCAGAGCCTGGTTTTCCTTAGTTTTCTTGTATGTTTTCTGACAATTCTAATTTTGCAATCCACAGCAAAAATCCCCTGAAAGATTTTTTTTTCAAGAAAGCTGTAATTAATTTCAGTGAGAATTTTGTGTGAGCAAGTGTATAGTTTGGCAAATGTTTTTTGATCACTCAGGTCCCGATTTACTTGCCAATATTTGACGTCAAACACTGTATACACTTCAAAGAGCTGTCTATGGTGTTTCCTACCTTATCGCCTTTTTCTCCAGACGGCCCCGGCTGTCCGTTCTCACCTCTCTGTCCTTTTTCTCCTGGCAGACCAGCTGGTCCTGTAGCTCCCAAGGGCCCAATCGGACCTTGAGCTCCCAGCTCACCAGGCTGACCCTGAAAAGAGCCCAAAGAGGTGAATAAGTGCCGCACACCCGCAGCCGGCAGCGCCCCAGAGATGCCCGTACGGATAAAACAAGGCTCACAAGGCAGACGTACTCCTGATGAGAGCAGCTTGCTGTACAGCCTGCAGCTCTGCTCCATGCACAATGCGCTAGAGGAGCACGACCTTCCAATTTAACAACTTTGCTCAAGGTGATAATTTCTCTTCACCTTCATCAGGTCTCCAGCACCACCTCTGTGACATGCCCAGGACAACCTGCACATCGTCCTGGCTCTACCAACGTAAGTATCACATCACCTTCTGCAAGCCTAAGACTCCAATGAGCATCACATTTTTGCCATCAGAGAGGGATGACTCGTTTTAGACAAAGGGACTTTATATACAGTCAGAACAAACGACATATGTTAATTATCTTAAATTTTTCTAGCTCGCATATCTTCCATCATCACTCTTAGATCTCAATGCCTTATTTAAAAGTTGTGAAGTTTCCTGCAGAAAAAGAAATAATTATAGTTATTAGCCAAGATATTTACAGAAAGTATCAATTTCAATAGATGGTGCTGAAATGGTTTGGGAGATTGCAGAACGTGGTTTATCTATAAATAGCTCTATATTGTGTATCCATACCTGCAGTACCACACAGACAATCTCTGCGGATTTCTATGGAATTATCCAACGTAATATATATTCTGAAGTAAAAACACTTTCCATGCCAATTGGATTTTTCAGTCTATAGCATTGGCACGGAGTTGTTTTGGATTTGTTGCAGGGTTTTTTTCTGTGCCGCTAAACAACTATTAAATCATAGACTGAAAGTGCTGAATAAAGCAAGCTTTCTAATCAGACTTCACGTGACCCGTCTACATTTTCACTCTACAAAATCTATGTATTTACAGGTCTTTATTTCTCTTACTCATCTTTTTCATTCTGTATTGTTATCTTTGTTTAGCTACAACTTGTTTTGCTTCCCAAATGAGGAGTGTTTTTCTTTCTTCTCAGAATTCACTGATCAATCAGTTACACCACATTACTAAAAAAGAGCAAAAAGGAGCCCCACACATTCCCAAGAAAAGCGTACGGCTCTAAGACCACTTGAGGGCAGTAAAGGATATTTCAGTAAAACCGCCATTCACAGAAATGACAGACCATACTTGATTTCTGTGAATGGATTGAAGGGAAACAAAACGACAGAAATCAAAGGTGGTTGTAAGCAGACATGTGAGCTCCAGGAGTCAAATTATGTTGAAGCAACAGAACTGAACTGCTTGCTTCCCTGTAAACACTACAGCAGTCTGAACAAATCTCATCTTATGAATCCCAAGCCAGCACCTAAACCTATTTATTCTCTATTTGTGTTTTAAAATATGTCGATAAAATCAGTGCCACTAGACACTTAGATATGAAGTGAAGGAAAGTATGGTACCCATCACCCCATGCAACGAGCAAGGGCGCAGGAATGAGAAGGCGAGTTCCCAGACACTGCAGAACGTGCTCTAGGCTCACGCTGTTCCGGAAGCAGGACTGGGCCACCACTGGCCCTGAAGCTACGATCGGGAATTTAGTGCAGAGGCTAGGAAAAGAAGTCATACGCTTACACATCAGGGCTGCCTGAAAAAGCGTCCAAAGTGTCCTCACACAACTCCTGTTCCATCGGTGCTTCTTCCACTTAAGCCTGGGTCCTGCTTCCAGTGAAGTCACAGGCAAAATCAGCATGTTGTCTTCAGCACGAGTTACCATTTTCTTGATATCATAATCTGAGCAGTGTAAAATATTATCCAAATCAAGGGTTACTAGTTTTAAAATCTGCTGGTTCTGCACCCTTGTAAACAATGAATGGCCAGTCAGGATTCTGGGTGCTTGAGTATTCGCTTGCATGAACAACTGCAGCCTGTCTATTGGCAGTGCCTTGCACATTCTCTGTTGTAAAACTGAATTTATTCACTGAGGTACTCTTAAAGCAGCTATTACACCCTTTAAATACTTGATTAAAAAAGACCAGACAACGATTTTAATTAAAGCAGAATTCTGAGTATAAGAGTGAAAACTACGAGCCCAATAATATAGTAAAATACAACTGTTTGAACCATTCACTCTACTAGAAGCAGTACAGTTTTCTAGTACACTGAGCTAGCTGTTACCCTGCGAAATGCAACATCCAACAGCAGGAAAAAATTGCCAAAGATATTTCTCACTAATGCTCTATTGTTTTTGTCTTAACCGTGTGAATTTCCGCAGTGACTTTAATACTCTTAATTCATAGTGTATAAGCTCTGCTTTCAAGAGCTGAAAGCTTTTAAAATCATGTTGTATCTTTTGGGCAGTTGAAGAAATGTGATTTTGATAGTACTCCAAACAAAGCTGTGGCACCATATGATTTCTCTGGGGATTATCTGTCGTAATTAACCAGCAAACGTTTCAAGGACATGTTGTCCTTTAGGCTGATAAAATGTCTTCGTTAGTTGCTACCCTGTGAATTTAATGGACTCCATGGTTTATGACTTCAGTAGGAGGTAGTGAAGTCATAGAGCAGAGTCACTGGATCCAGCCCTGACAATGGCTTTGGCAGCTGATACAACTCCAGCACGCCATGTGAAGCTGGCGGATTGTCTCTCTTTCTTTCAGCTCAAAGACTGATAATGACCGGGAGCTTTGTTAAGACCAAACTGATACCATGTCATAACATCTATTATCACATCTATTATTTGTGCCCATCCAATGTGACTACCACAGCATTACAGTCTCAGGACAGCTGTACAAATAAAGAGGATGAAGGTAGTCATGCTCATGTGGAAATGACAAATTAGCTCAGTTAAAATGAACAGAATATTATGCCTGCTCTGCCATCTGATGCCAATACATTCCTTTAGGATTTCAATGCCTTGTTAATTGTCTAGGTCAGGAACTACCCATGCCAAGACTGCGGTCTGTTATTTTAGCACATCCTGGGCTTGACCTGCAGTAAGAAACCGACTTTTGACAAAACAAGACTATATTTTTTTTAATTAAGTGTGCTTCCTAAGACTAAGGCTGCAAATATTTCAGAATCATGCAGCAAAGCATTTAGTGCTGCTTGGAGAAGGCAACGGCCAAGATTATTTGGAATGACTGTGTTTGGTTTCCCGAGACACGAAAAAGCACCTGATTTGCAGAGTCTCCTGAGCTCTTAATTGTCTGAAAGCACAATGTTTTAAACTGGAAATCAAAGACCACTGGTTCATGCTGTTAGACTGAATTCTGTGTTGCTCCTCGTTCTCAGTAATGTCAAAAAGAAGTCCAGTTACTGCCTTCAGCTAGGACAGTACCCCATGCCACGGGCCACCTGGATGTACTAGTGAGATGGGAAACCCCTTTATCTTCCGTTCACACGAACAAAAATGGAAACACCCAGCACTGCCACAGAATCAGACGGCAGGCACATAACGCGGTGCCAATAACACAGTGCCCTTTTTGCTTCTGCACTGGACTCTGGGTTGTCACCAGCCTTTCCCCCTTTACCAGACAGGGAGGAAGGCAGAGCAGTTGGTCGGCAGGAGAGGAGCGCACACAAAGGAACTTGCAGACAGATGTTGTCTTTCCTGATTTGCTTAGCGAGGTGGGAGCATCTGTGCTCCTCTCCCTTTTGGAAGAGCAGGTCTATTCTGCAGCAAAGCCACAGCTTCCAGGGCTTGTGGGGTGTCCATTCTGGGATGTTTCCAGCCCTCTGCTCTAATTGTGTGGGACTGGAACCAAAATAATTTTCCCTGTAAGTCAAGGCTCCAAAATAAATCTTTTACATATTAAGTTTATCAAGGCAAGATATGTCTGAGAAAGCACATGACTTAGTGTTAAATCCACTCTTTTGGTCTGAGTATACCAAATTTTTCTGCGACTGTGGGTTAAACAGTGAGTGAGAGTGAGACTAGCATACAACATATTTTATTCTCATTTTGTTCAGAAACAGCCCATCACAGTGACTTTTCAGTATTAGATAATACTTTTAGAGTCAGATTTTTGAGCCAGTTAAATGCAATATCAACTTTCAGTGTTTGACTTCTCTCGGCACCTGGATTGTGCTGCAAATGACGGGAAAATTCTGTGCTCTTTTATGATATTTCTCAATGATCCCATATGCTACAGGAACATAGTACTTGATGACGCAGCCTAGTATTCCCAGCAATACTTCACCGAGGCACAGCAAATCACAGTGAAGTGCTGAAAAAATTTGTCACAGTGTACTTTGTTTTGTCTTTTAACCCTGTGGAACCAGGAAAAAAAAGTATCTAATAAGCCAGTGGGTGTCACTATTGTGTAAAACAAACACTGAACAAGAGAGATTTTGGCACTGAAACTTTTAAGAAACACTGTTACTGGCTGAAAGCAGAGAGCCGCAAGTAGAGAGTTTTAGACCACAAATCATTAACATCGGATTGGCTAATAAAATTAACTTTTGCTCTTGTTTTATTGAAACAAGTCACTGGCTTGCAATTTTTAGGTCATTCAAATCTATGAAAAAAATAATTTTGTAGAGTTCTGTCTTGTTTGATGTGGTAAAGCCTGTCAATACGCAGCCACTGAGAAATAGACTTTCTAGTTTGGTAGGAGAGAGGAGCTGAAAGTATTAAGGAAAGAAAGATGCTCAAGAACAAAAGGAGGGGTAACTTAGCAAGATCAAAACTTTAGAAAAATCTGGAAATGTGTCTGATGTGAAAAATGCTAATTTACAGATGCTGTAGATGGACATTGTATATGAAGAACAGCCTCAAATGGACTTAGAGTGAGAAGACTGGAGTGATCCTGTTTGTATTCCACATTCTGGTAAGCAGGCTCCATTCCCTACAGTTCAAACCCTAACTTCTGGAGCCAGGGAACTCCCTACTCCCCTGCCTGTGTACAAAAACATGCCTGGTGGGCTTCAGATATAGGGGGTCTCCTTTCTCTAGGTCTGTTTTTCTATGGTTCTCAGCAAATTAAAATGAAATGCAATAGAAATATTTCAGAAATGTATAGCTGGTCTCAGGAATCCTCTACTTTAAAACTACCTAATATAGTGGAGAAAAAGATCAACAAGTATGAGGCCAATGATGGGAGAGCTCTGGGTTTCTCCAGCCGCTAGTGTGCACACATCTCTGATAGTGGATTCAACTGAGCACACGGATTTGAGAGCAATTAGATGGATTTTACGTATTCAATTCCGGAGTATGCAGCTTGAAAATTGAAATAAAAGTGCTGGAAGTACCCTGAAGTACACATCAGCTGACTTTCTGACTCAGCTGTGACAACCGACTTAGCATCTCCTGTGAATGCTTACTCCTTACACCTCATATGCCAGAAAACGTGAGACCTTCCTCTGAGATTTCTGTTTGCTAGGTTCTCTCCTACCCTAGAGTGAAAACAGGCCACTCACTTCATCTGCAAAAGAACGAACATCGGTCTTGCTGAGTTATATCTATTGTTCACTTTGCTCCAGGCATTTCACATGATCTCATAGAAGCTAGATCAGGTTGGGTCATGAATAGACGCTTGCTTTCTAAATCTACTTAACTCTATAAACAAAGCCAAAGGAATTGAATGGGATCAAACTCCGGGGTCGGCACAGGACACGTTTACAATTGGTCAGTGCTAACTGCAAACATTTTTTTAACTATCTAAATTCTGTTGGAGCAGCCAGCCTTTTGGGAGGACTATGATACAACACTGCAGGAGTTACCGACAAAACAGCTTCCCAAGTTAGAGGCAGAGGGGGAAAGGGAGGAAGGGATTCACTGTCTGCTGGATACACCAGGAGAAGATTAAAATCACAGACTTTACAGGAGACCAAAGAGGAAGAGGGGGGAAAATACCCTAAAATAATGAAGTTGCTCTAATTAAAACCGTTGATTGCTACTGCCTACTGGAAGTAGTGACTGGGAGAGAAAAGGCAGGAGAAATCCTCACTTGTTTCAGGCCGGCGCTAAAATTAATGTAGGGTCCTTTTGAGTTGTGACACGAGATCAAGAGATAAATAATATAATGTAAAACTAATTCCAATAAGGCTGTAATCCAATTAAACAGAAGTCGAACTTTCATTGTGATGTGGGCAACTGTAGTGATGTCAGAATTGGGATACACTGCTAGCAATACCGAAGAAATGTCTTTCAGACAGTGATTTCTGGCTACTGAATAGTAGTGTGAATCTGTTTATAGCACAGAATTATCTAAGGTTGAGAGAAATAAAAAGCAGCAGGTACCCAAGCTCTTCTAAAATACAGCAATATAGCAACAAATGTCTATGTATACTGGTTGATATAAGTTGAGCTACTTGCTTCTACTTTTCTTCCAACATCGCCCCATTTCGAAACGTTTAAGGATGGCCATAGCAGTTTCCTTTCCTCACTTCCACAGACATCTTTTCTGTAGTTTAAACCTCAGTTATCTTGTCCACTTACAATGAAGAAGCCTTTCTATGCTGGCATTTAAAAAACTTTCAGTTGGGCAACTAGAAGACAAAGTCTTAACTCCTGTGACGTTCCCAGTCAGCTGCACAGTTTTCTTACGCTGGCCTGGTAACCACAGCTTTCACTAATCATGCTTAACTGGCATTCAAAAAAAAAGGATAGAAAGAAAGGTCATGATGCCAAAGGCAGTAGGGCAAGATTTCAGGTCCTACTTTCCTATGGAAGCTTCACAGTGTACTACATTCCTGACAGCCATTCTGCTTCACTCGTAAACCTAAAAACATTTCATTTTAGGTGTCTATTCTCTTACTGCCCTAGTTTTTCACTATTTTAGTGCAGAGATGTTAAGGATAAGGGCTACAGTTAGGTCATACACAGCTTACAGGGTTTTTAGTTTTATGAGATGCGGACACACTTGTTGCTGGTGATTACGAATAAACAAAACTGATTTGTAACAGTTCTAAGACTTTTGCTCTAACTTAATTTTAGTAGAAATCTCTGTTATGGATGGGCTATAAGCCTGCTTCAAACATAGAAATAACTCGTTTGTTCACTTTATTAGCTAAATTTCCAGTAGGCAATGCTTCCACTGGAAGTCTAAAAGGGAAGGTAGCACTCTGAAGTGAAACAGCAAGGTCATCAAATACCTGTCATAGTCTTTTATATGTAAACAAAATCCCTCCAATGGAACCAGCAACAATATTTTCCTCCCAGTCTGCTGACAAAATGAAACCCTTATCAGATGGGCACACCTTAACTTTGAAACTACAAAAGTGCTGTTTTATCAGCAGATAGATACTGTGACTTCTCCAAAAATCTCCTCTTTATTAGTGCGTGGAGAAGGATGTGGGGAAGTGAGCCTGAGTGACGTTCAAAACAAACTGCTTAGGTTCTTAGCTGGCTGTTACGCTGTCACTCGGGAGCTGGACCCGTGGCACCTATCTACTGCAGCTGGTTTAACAAAGCTGGCTGAAGATTCTTAACTTTGAGGGCTGCTACAAGCTCTGCTTTTTTTGCTGGTCTGCATGAGATTATTGTTCTGGTGTCTTCCACCTGCAGGTACGTGAATTTTCTAGAACCTTTTAGTGCTTTCAGGAAATGTTTGCTGAGGAGGCCAGCTCAGCCTTCATTTTGACAGCTAGCCTGTGCTAAATCGGTGAAAAAGGAAAAAATACAGCGTAAGGAAATGACACTTATACTTCTACCCTTATCTCAACTTCTTTACAGAGAAGGATTATTTAATAAACTATACACTTCTGAAATTTTAGGCTCGCATACCATATAATGCCAGAGGCTTTCAACGATTGTTTATTTCTTGCACGTTAAAGACAGAATCAAGGAAGACGTGAAACTCTGAGAAGCCAGCCTGGGAGCAGGAATCATACAGAAAAGCAGATAAAGCAGATGGTTTGCATTCTAGGAAGCTAATAATAAGATACTCAAAGCTTTTATTTTGTGATGGGTAGTCTCCACAGAAGCTAGAAAAGCAAACGTAGTCTGTCAGAGTGTCAAGGCAGAACATAGCAAAATTTAGAAGCCAACAAGACTGTAGGATGAAAAAAAAGACTGAGTGATCCTACAGAAAATAATTCATCATCATACGTGGACAGAAAAACATGTGCAACAATCTACCTGACATGACGTTTAGTTTGTATTTCCTCTAAGGTCTGATAAGCACTTCTATTTCTTGCATGTTGATTAACAGAAATGATTGCAGGAAATACAAACTCATACTGCATTGGAGAGACTTTATCCATCAGTGTGCATATGTATTTCGGAGCTGTTTCAGAAAACAGTACAATTCTCAGTACAGTACATTTGCATAATGACACTGAATTTACTTTTAAATGTGTACTACACTTCTGTTTGGAACTTAGGTCCAGATCCTTGGAATTATTCAGAAAACTACCTGCAAATGCAGGAACCCCAGTTCACTTCACCTGCGGTGGGGAGGACAGCGCCACTCCAGCTGCAGTCAGTATTTGTTATTGACTGACTGTGGGCACAGATGTAATCCAGAACTTCCAGACTACTGAGAGAGAACCAGAACCAGAGGCATTTCCTCTAGTTTCAAAGTCAGTTGTTTTTAAATGGCACCTCAGATCAAGTTTTTGGTATCCAAAACAGCCTATTCAGTAGTGCAATGCTGCTAGCCAGAATACTTTTCCTGGGATACCCTTTTGTTAACACGGTGTTACAGAGATCGGCACATCCTAGGCCCCTATTATGAAAATCCTAAAACATGGGGGACTTTCGTATGGACATAATCCTGGAGGATTAGGATAGGATCCAAGGACACCAGGGCAGTGATCATGACACAGCAAAGCCTGCAGCTAACTGCAGAAGCACAGGAAGGAAAAGGTGTGTCTTGCTTTTGTGGCAAAACAAACAACTGGGCATGCAGCTCTTCTAAAACCTGATTCACTGCCTTCCATCTCTCTGACCCCTAAATTTTGACATCAGTACTTTGAGGGAAAACGATTTCCATCAGTGACTGACAATTTTTCAGGTGTTCACTAATCAGGGCATGTATCTAATAAAACATTTCCTCATAGAAAGTTTAAATTGTTCACTATCTAAAGGTAAGTATTTTGAGAAAGAACAGCCAAGATAAGCTAGCCATCGGTGGACTGTATTTCAATTAACAAATAGCAACACGCATAGTTATTAGTTCTAGTGTATAATATGAACATGTCTCGGCTTCATTCAATGTTTTACTATTATTTATACGGCAGAGAAAATACAGATTTTTTTTTATACTTACTCTCTTAAGCTAGTAAAATGAGGAGTTTGCAAGCTTTTCCAGAATCACCTAACCCAAATAAGAAACACCTAAATTCTCATAAAACTAGTAAATGGCATAGACGTTCTCTCTTAACTAACCTCTTAGCAGAAAACGTGCATAGATTTCTAAACTTAATACATATTAAGAATGACCTTTGTCCAACTACTAGACTGATCTCAAAGAATCCTTAAGACACAAAAAGACACCATGATTATTGCAAACCTCATTTACAAGCAAACTTGTTTACAATCCTAACTTCCTCTGATGAGAGCTGTACTTCATGCCAGTGAGAGAATTATACTAGTTTGCTGTGTTCAGGCTTGTTTATGTCTGAATATTGGTTTTAAAGAGCAGCTACATGATAAAATGAACAGTATTTACAGCTGGTAATTATCATTAGTTATAATCATCACTTACTCTTGATCCTTTTTCTGGAAAGCACCGACAAACCGAACAATCCCGTCCCTCACATGGCTCGATATATGCATATCCTCCCTAAAAATCAGAAGTTTATAGATTTATCAGGATGCAACAGACAACAATCACTTTGTCAGCTGGACATTATGCAACTGGATAACTCCTCAGGTGAGAAAGATTTGGCTGCCCTTGCATACCCACAGGGCAGTTCCTTCCGATGATGAAACTCGGCCCAGCAGCAAACATCAGGGTATTGTGTAGATCTTCAGTTTGACACGTATGAACCTTTTCCAGTGCTTGCTTGACAGAATACACACATGATACCAGATTTAAAAGCTTACTGTCTCGGACCTTTCATCAGCATAAACATGCTGGCCAAGTAGAGGTAATAAGCAAAAGGTTTTTGTTGTTGCTGTAGAAGGTGAAACTCATTACCTACAAGTTATGTTAAGTAACAATAAATACTGCAGCTAAATATGACTACAGGAATAGACTGCATCTACAAAAAAATTAACCGAGTGAGAATTTGGTTTGTAGTAATGTGATGAGTTAAAAAATTGATTAACTACAAATAAATGATAAAAGGCAAAAACGGCTGAGGAGCAACAAGCCCACTCAGCGATAAAGGCTTGCATTTAAGTCTTGTCTATCGAATGAAAAAAGAAGTATGGGTATGGTGTAATTCTGTGTTGCCTACCATTAATTTACTTATTTATTGTATTAAAACTTTCTGTTTTTTTTCCTCTTAACAGCAGAGAAGTGAATGCTTTGTTTCATCAAATTGCAATGAGGAAAAGGATATTCAAGGAGAAGCTGGATTCATTCTGTGGTGAGTGAACATAATTTTATTATTCTTTTCTATTTCCCAAGGTGAAGTATTTAACACAGACCAATTATACACACTGTATGCATTTATAAACTCACTTAGATGGCTGATATGTCCACTAGGGGACATTATGTTTTCGACAAAATTGTGTAATTGATCAAAGTTGTTTCAAAAAGAATGACAAGGATTTGAAAGATTTAAGAACAATTCAGGCAAAAGAATAAACAGTGATAATATGAAAATAATTTTTCGGTGTGGGTTTCGTTTTTACCAAGGTCAGCATTGTTTTGTTACTGGTTTTAATAACGAATAGAACACAACAGGTTCATACTTCAAGCTTTCAAGGAGAAAACACTGACAAATATTAGATAAGGAAGAAAATTCTGTTCTTTCTATCCACAATATTTTGAGAATATCTAGTACTCCCAAACTTCAGAACAAGAGGGTATGATTGTCTCTCTCACGGACTGCTTCTCTTTCACACACTGGATTTCCCATGAAATTACTCATTTACTCCACACTAGTCTCTCACCTAGTTATTAAAAACTTGCCTCTACTGGACCGCAAGTTTCTAATAACATGTAAGCTGTTACTCTTTGTTCTAATGAAACACATTTATTTTTAAAAAATATTTCCATTTTCAACAGCTCGACTAAAAAGGGAAGACTTTTGGGGAAATAGCAATGAAAACGAGCTTCTAAATATCTGAAAGAAACAAAGAGGATGGACTTGAAAGAAGTTCCAGTGAGGGCATTGCAAACGTAAGGTTAATATGGAGGAAAGTACAGAGGGGTTACTACATTTTGGCTTTGGAGAGATGGGAATGGACAGGGAGGCCAGCCTGAGATCCAGGCTACACACAGAGAAGGGTTTGCAAGCTGGAGTTCCGTGCACGCTGCACTGCAAGAGGCACTGAAGGGACCTCACGAGGAAGGAGACAGAGTCAGTGCACCAGAGAGCGTTTCTTACGTGCAGCCTCCCAAAATCATCTACAGATGCCAAAGTTAGAATCTAGAAGAATCCAAAGGAGAAAATTACAAAATAGTTAAATCAAGTAACAGGAACAGAAGAGGAAGTTAGAACTGCAGAAATGCTGAAAGAAACATCAGTGTTTTCCCTCAGAACTACAGGGGGTTTTGGTGTATGCAGCGTTACCTGTGAGAACCATACCCTCCTGTCTATCACCCGTCTGAAGAAAATAGCAGTGTCACTTACCCCCTCAGTTTCTTGTGCTTCAAAAACAATCAGCAGCCACCTGATTTAAAAAAAGGAGAAAGCTACATTAAAACTAGATTTCCAACATCCAAACTTTACAAAAGCGAGAAGTGTGTACACATAGTTAAGTCTTGGTTGGGGTGATTTATATAGTAAAAGAGTGTATTTATAAGGGGTATACATCAAGAAACGGTCGGCACATGCTGTATGTATTTGTCTTTTTGGATTTGTGAGACTGAGTACAAACAGGTAGGCATGAATAATAAAATTATGTGAATGTCCTTGTAACTTCCCCCTTATAACCTGTTGCCAAGCCCGCATTTAGGAATGGCCAGAGAGGAACTATTCCAGACTGGTTTCTGCACCTCCGTGGACACCGTGATCGAGCATCTGCCCCAAACCGAGTCAGCTGGTGCCGTTCTGTTTTGCTCAGAGAGCGAGCATGAGAAGGCAGCGTGCGAAGCAGCACTCGAACAGCCACGGGATTCCAGAGCAGCTGCTGGGGTAGCCCAGCTCCATGCTAGTGATGGATCATAAAGCTGAAATCATGTCTTCTATGATTTCTATATGCATGAAAAGAGGATAAAATAAAACAAAGAAGGCAGGCCAAAAATTTCTGCAGCAATACAGGAAATAAGCATTATTATCAACTATTATTAAAACCAACGTTATTATTAATGTGCTCACTCATTATACGAAATGATAAATTATATATGGCCACAGCGTGTACGGACTGGCTGCGCCAGACACAACACCGTTTCCTACTAGTGCAGTACCTGAAATTTAAATGGTAAAACCTTATAGACCAGCAATCAAAATCAAATACAGTAAGTTACCGTATAGGCTTATCAAATTTATGGCAGGCTACAAATTATTTAACTGGTGATTTCTTATTACTGTTAAACTGATAACGAAGAATCTATCTCAGTGACTCTAGTTAAAAAATTTAGTGAGCTGTAAAACTCACCAGGCAGCTGTGATAAGCCACTTAATCCGTTCAAACGAATCCTTTGTTAATGCCATTCACGCTGATCGAGGTTCTGTACATGCAGCACTTTTTTTTTTCTTTCTTTTTAAAAAACAGCAGGTCTTCTCTTTCCTTCTGTTTGTGGATGGTCTATAAACACTGTTCCATACTGTTGTTGTTTTCCCCTCTTAACCTGTTTATATTAAAATACACATGTCATGTACAAACATGAATAATTACTGAACAACCAAAACATATCTTAACCATTTATATATGCCATACTGCCCAGCTTTATGTTGGTGCCACATCATATCATCCCTGTTCAGGCCACATTTTTTTATCAGCAATCCAATTATTTGAACAAAGAGCCTCCTGCACAATTTTTTCTTAAAAAGCTATCTTGCCCACTGTTTTAGCTAAAGGCATAAAAAAATATGAAAAATTATGTGACCCCCGTCTACAGTAAAGACCCAGTGAACTCAGAAACAATCAGGCAAACATTGGTTCTAGTTTCAAGACCAGACACAGCCGTATCTTCTGCAAACTGGGCCGGACCAGTGTCTGTGTGTACATCTGAGCACGGCAGGACTACTCTGAAGGCAGAGTAATCCATGCGTATTTTCAGCTCAAGAGTTCTACCCATATGCATATGCATGGACAGACAACACTCACTGGAAACGCTACGAAGAATTTTTCAGCTTAACTACACGGCGCATCCGTGACCTCCGACTTGGGTTGGACATGTCCTGCACCAACCTCTTGCTCAAACCAGAGGAACGGCCATCCTCCGTGTGAACTTTTACATCCCCCAGATAAGGAAAAGCTGCAATCCTTTGGAATAAGGCACGCCTGGCAAACGGTTCTCACTGCTTATTTCAAAACGAGGGTTTAAGAGGCTGAGCTTTTCCTAGGACGGCACAGATTAACACCAGTTTTTACTTTTTAGTGCTGGAGTCTTCCAAACGTGGGAAGATTAATTCTGAGGGGACCGAGCATGGACTAGCGTGAACCAGCAGGGGTTCGGTTCCTTTGGGGAAGTCTCCTGAGGAAGCAAAGCGAGCTGGGCACAGAGAAGGGAGCGAGGACGTGACCCTGAAGCAGACCGGCTGCTCTCTGACGGCTGTTCAACAAGCAGCTACCTTTTCTTTATAAAACAAATGAGTGTACAGACCCGGAAACGTTACTCTCTTGCCTCCCATTGTTTAGTGTAGCATTTTTCTAACCAATACTAATCTATAAATAATATTGATTCTGATGTGTATGCATGGTATATCCATATCCCAGTATGGAGAAGAGACTTCGGAAGCTACTGTGCACTGAGTGGGCTAAGGGCAGCCAGTCCACGCAGTGAGATCACACCCTGCGTGCGCTGCACAGGGCTCCATTCCTCTGCCAAAAACTTAGTCTCTTTCTGTGCCTCTGTTCCACCTCCGTCAGCAGGGGAAAAAAAACAAAAACAAACAAACCCTACAACACTCCTAATAACAAAATAATACTCCAATAACATTCCTACCTCACTGCTTTTATTTTACATCAGTAATATAAACAAGATTATCAGACAATAAAATCCTGCAAGAGTGGATTGCCTCAAACGGAAAATCCAAGCCAGT